CAGTGCGGCGTAAAACAAAAACATAAATCCATTTGCACACTCGTAAAATATTTCATGAACAGTCATCAATATTGCACTTTTGTATTGCACTACTGTTACACAGTCATCTCAGTACAGTTATTGGAGTTACCTGCCCCTGTGATACACCTGAAACTCGCGGGCTTGACAAGTATGCAAGTGTTTGGGTGAGCCAGTTTCTATCTGTCCAATGAGGTGAGGTGAAAGTGGGTTTTACGTCGTGCCTGAGAATATTTCGCTCATATGACGACGTGCATGCGTGTATGTGTATGTGCGCCTGCTTGTACTAGCCCAGACTTAAGCTGGTTTTATAGTGCTAGCCCACTCAGATACCATGCCGCAGTGAAGCATGAATACCCCACTCAGACACATTATACTGACTCCGAGCCGGCCAGTCCTTGTTGTACCCATTACTGCCGAGCGCCAGACAGGGACCAACAAGTACCATATTTTAACGTCTTTTGGTATGACGTGGTCGGGGATCGAACCCGCGACCTTCCGCTCTCCGGGCGGACGCTCTAACCACTACACCACGGAGGCGGTCATCTGTCCAATGAAGCTATATGGAGGGATACAGGGGATACAAATTGAGATCTGGATACGAAGTTGGAATCCAGTTCCAAACACGACTCTTTCAAGAAATTCAAAAGTGACAATTTGCGTCAATATTTATTGAACATTCGTGAGTGGGCCAACTGTAAGTCCATGCTTGCAACTTCAACATGCTTGTGTTCTATTGTCTTTTTGTGTTCCATTTACTGTGATTGTAAGCAATAAATGTGTCATAAAATGCCATTCACTGATCGTGTGTGATCCTTTACTACTTCCACCATTTAATTCCGTGCACATGTCTATAAACTATTTCTTGATTAATCTATTTCAAATTGGAAATTACCTAACCAATTGGTTAATGACTCGTATGCCGACGATGGGTCATTCTTCGCTCCTTTCAATCAGGAAGGGAATCAATGTAGGATTGATATCTGACACAGCGTTTATACCTGCATGGAAACTAATTCAAAATACTTAGTGTGTTCCTTTTATTTTAGGTATGTAAGTCCCGAAACATTCAACGGAAATTTATATTTACCAGCTGTTTTAAATGTAGTATTTTTGTCATTTTAATTTAGGCTAAATTTGACTTCAATCGACAGCCGCTGAAGGGATGATATAAATCCAGCTAGGGTCCATGCAGGTAGCAAAAGTACTGTAAGTCCCCATGGTCCCTAGTTTGATGATCTACCTTCACTGGTTGGCGATCTATAGCCAGTTTTTATATTGTATTGTCCAAATAGTGATATTAGTTTTAATTTTCCACACTAGTTTTAGTTGTAATTGTGATATTCTAGTTGTTTTACTGTCCTTTGCAGACAGGCTTTTATAATATACACATATTACATTTCAATGTCAAATATGTTCTCGTCACGATATGGCTGAAATATTGCCGATGTGACGTTAAATATTAACTCACTCACTCCTTTTAGTTTACTTTAAAACAAAATACCCAGAATATAGATCTTTGTCGTAGAAGGTTAAAGATTGGGAGCGAAACTTTTAGCTGATTTGCATGGAAGAGAATCACCAGTATTTCTCCTATATAGTGATAAAAGGACGTTATAATATTATAATATAAAATGTAATATCATACTTTTATATTACTTAACTATACTCTATAAGGACTGGTTGAAAAAGGACAGCAAAGCAGTGCAGGTGAGGTAAGCATTGAAGTCACATTGGCAATATTTCAGCCATATCGTGGCTAAAACTAGTTTGTACATTCTTTATACCTGAAGTTAAATGATAAAATCCTGTTAACGAAAGACAGTAAAAGCAACTAAAATATCACAGATATAGATGTAAATGTTGTATGTAAATCTAAAACTTTTAAACTATTGAAGACAATAGAATATACAAACATGCTATAGATCACAACTGAAGGTATAGATCACCATACTTAAGACCATGGGGGCTTTTGCTTCCTGCATGGACACTAGCTGGATTTACACTGTCCCTTCAGATGTTAGCAATAATTGTAGACAAATCTAGCCAACGATATCTATTTACAAAACATTACTTAATTTAAAAATTCAATTATTAGGTGGTTGAGTGAGTGAGTTTTGCTTTACGCCGCTTTTAGCAATATTCCAGTAATATCATGCGGTTGAAACCAACGCCCCATTATTAGGATACAGATATGATGTAGCGTCGTCCCCCATGTTGGGAATGTATTATTACAAAACGGGTGTATGGCTCTCAGTACCACAGTTCAAAGTGAGAACTCCGTTGAGTATAACTCGTGTAGATCCGGTTTAGACATGGTCTTAAGCAACTCGTGTTTGTTGTCAGAGGTCGGGTTTGCTTGCTTGGTTGACATATGGCATTCTATCCTATTTGTAAGGATCGATGGTCATGCTGTAAATCACTGGATTGTCTGGACCAGACTCGACTTTTGCAAGGACCGTCGTCAATAACTGGAACATTGCGTTAAACAAGCAAACAGACATAGTACCCATACATGTGTGGTTTTATAGCTGGAACATCTGACCAAAAGAGGAAAGCGGTCAAGAAGACCAGTCTTTGCTATTTGATAAAGACCAACAATATTTGGAATATGGCCTTAAATAAAAGTAACAAGACAACCTGTGACACCATATTTATTGCAGAAATATACGGACAGAAAACAATAACATAAGGGGCTTCATAACAAGTCCAACAAAGATGTATGTATTCAGAAATTAAATAACCATGCACATCTATGAGTGAGTTTAATGTCGCATCGGCCGAATGAAAATGCACATCTATGAAAAAGCCTCTTCGATGCTGAAGATATTTACATGCTGTATGTTAATGTATGACATACAGATTAGATGTTTGCTGCTGCTGACTTGATACACTAATCATTTTCATTTTTTTTGACTGTGAAAAGCTCACGATGACTATTTAGCATTGGGTACTCATAAAACAATCATTTCCAAGACATTATAACAATTTAAGAAGTGCATGTACCTCTTTTCCACTAGCACTGAACACATTTTGAAACGACTTAGCTCCGGTTGTTACCCAGGACAAACACTTTCGCTAAACAGCGGCTAGTGAAAACAGCCACACCCATACACGCTTGTACTATTTGGCCAATTCGACCAGTTCAGACTTTTTGAGCAAAGAAACCTGTTCGTTAGGAGATTGGCTAACAAACCCTTAAACACCATAGTGATTGGTTGTTCCACAAAGAAAGCCAAAATTTGTGATATATTTAATTTCGATCCCGGACAAGCCCCCAATTCCTGTCACGTGTTGATTCCTCAAGTTGAAACTGAAACGCTCAAGAACTAAGAACTACTCTGGAAAAAGGCTAGATAATTCTCTACTGAGAATTCTCAGCGTCGATTGAGATGCCTTTAAGGTTGGACCCTAAGTATAAACATAGCACAGGACCACCACCCTTTAATGTATAACAGGCGAAACATTGTTGCACCAAGTATAACAATGCTCAACAACAACAAACAACATAAAATCTGAAAACCGTAATAAAACAATACAACTTAAGCAAAGTTCACAAATGGAACATGAGCGGGAACAGTAACTAGTCTGCTACAAGGTGTAATGTTAGAAACAGGTTAATTCAAAATTGTGTAAGTGGTTGATGCTATTAGTGGTGCACGACATTCTATATCTATATTTGCAGCAGGTTAAGTGGTGCTTTCGAAAAGACATGATTTATTTAGGAAATCGTCCGAGCATGATAACAATAGAAACTGTGATCACGTTACGGTGGTGGTTGTGGTGCTGATAGCACCAGAACATAATTAACATTAAAGAGAATATAAACTAACATTATAGAGAATATAAATGGACACTAAGTAGTGCAAAGATAACTTGTACCGCAAATATACAAGGCACATAAAGAAACTGTGCATTGTCAAAATATTATCCCAGTTGATAAGTACGATAACAATGTCAAAGGTACATATAAACTTTATTGGAGGGATCATGAGATCATAACAAGTCGGGAGAATTTCAATTGAAAAGTCAATCACAATGACGTCACGAGTCCACAAGCAGGACAGGGGTCAAACGACCATGTCACAAGCTCAATAACGGGTATGTCCACCATCGGCATTGAGAACAGCAGTGCATCGACGACGCATAGAGCCTATCCAAACGTACAAGGAAGGCTTGTGGGATGTCACGCCAGATTCTCTCAAGTTCTGTTGCAAGGTCAAGGACGTTATCTGGCGGATGAGGAAGACGGCTTAGACGTCGATCCAACTCGTCCCAAACATGCTCTATCGGGGAGAGATCCGGTGAATTTGCAGGCCAAGGCAGTAAGTCAACATTGTGGTGTTGCAAGAAATCCATAGCAACCCTTGCCGTATGAGGGCGGGCATTGTCCTGTTGGAATGTTAACCCAGGGCCATGACGTTGCAGAAAAGGAATTGCCACAGGTCGAAAAATCTGATCCCTGTAGCCAACACCAGTTAAGTTGCCCTGAACAATCACCACATTCGGCGAGCTTGTCGATGACGTTGTTTCAGGATAGGCCGTATGGCGGGACGTCGTGGTCTGATCCCGTGATCCCAGTGCAGAAATCGTGTTCCGGTGGCAGTGGAAATGTGCAGCCACTTATCGTTGAGACATTCCCCCACGGACCATCCCAATTGCCTCATGACGTTGTGCAGACGTGAGCCTTGGCATGCTATGCGTTTCAATAGCCGTTTAATTTTTTGAACGATCGCAAGGGCAGGGGTTGAGCTTTCCAAAGTGACTGTATTGTGTGGCATTCATTTGCTCTGTTTCTCTTTCCCGGAATGCACGTGCAACAACGTATTGCACGTCTCAAGGCCGAACCCACTGACGTCATGGAACGTGGCACGTGCATGCATGTTGAATACATGTCACTAATCTCTGAGTTTAAATCCTTATGTGTCTACACAGGTTTGAAAAAATTAGATTTTAAATTTCTTTATGTGCCTAGTATAGATTATATTTGAACCGGGACCGACTTGAACGTGGTTTGAGCCTACGTTACAATAAATCACATCCCTCGCTTCACGTCATCCTCCAAAATAAACCTTACACGGCGTAGAACGAATCCCCTGTTCCCTGTTTATTTATGTTGACAATGAAGACCAATCCTTATCCGGATTTTCACAGGTCAAGTCCTCTGTAAATCCGTTAAAACGTTTTATATCGTACCGTTCCATTTTGACTCAAACGTAACAAAAGCAATATACAAATAGATATAATTCCCTATTTTGACTTCCACCACATATTCGGCTGCCTTTGCATGTGTTTGTGACGAAGCCCATCTGTATCTCTTTGATAGTAAATCCTATACACTTGTTCAAAATATAGAATCGAACAATCATCACAGTTACAGAGGCTGATGCTGATAGATGTTAGTTCTCATGAAGAATATATCGAGCACGTGGTACAATATTAACTATCGACCTGAATAATCAATACATTTTAGCTGTAACTCACCCTATCATATGGTGACAACATTCTTAGAGTACAATGTCACAGACGTATTTTTGTTCTTCAAAATTGCAACTAGTATCATCAAATTGCATGTCTGGTTCCATTTCAAGACATTTGGAATATCCACTCTTTGTGTACTCGGGAAAGACTGTGTCGTCGACAACCCACCTCCATACTCCGTCTTCTGCCATGTCAGTCGCGCCGAGAAAATATTCATTGGCTCCATCTGAATGATAAAAAAACCCAAACATTAAGGGACCATTCATTATTTATGGCAAGGTTTTTTTTATGGAGAGGCATGTACGATATGAATGCCCCTCCCCCAATTCTTTATATAAGGTAAGTACCCCAACCTCCGCCTACATGTCATGTATAAAAGCAATGACTCTCCTCCCTTCCCATAATTTTTAACCACATAGTTTAAATATTACTATGCCAAAAAATGATGACATCCCCTAGTACATGTTTACAAAATTAATGACTTAATGACCCCCTTCCTCCCCAGAACAAATTTTGTGAACAACCCCACCCCGCCACCCACCCCTAAAAATATATGGCGGCGGCCTGTAAATAACCCAGTTTGGACCAGACAGTCCAGTGAGCAACATCATGAGTATCGATCTACACAATTGGGTTGCGATGACATGTGTCAACCAAGTCAGCGAGCCTGACCATCGGTTAGTCGCCTCTTGCATGGGTTACTGAAGACCAATGTTGACCAGGATATTCACGGGTAAGGGTGACTATATTTCAAATGAAGTAGCTCGAGGTGCTGTTCTTGCTTGTTTGCAAATATATTTTTGAAGCGGTTTCTTCAAACCATACTGAGGTCTTGGTATTTTCTAAAACGTGGACGTGGATGTACCTGCTTGAACGATCTCCTGCACCAACTGTCGCTTTTCGGGAGTATCAAGCTTAGCCAATTCGCCTCCCTCGCTTTGACATATTTCACGGGCTCTCGTCCACGTAGCCTTGTCTGTGGAGTGCACTTTGTAGAAGAAGTGTGCGGATGAGTTGTAGATGTAGCCAAACGCAGCAGCTTCTATACCAACTACAACACAAACATATATCTAAGCATTTTATACAACCTTTTAGCAATTATCTTATTTCATCCGAGACAACAAAAACTATTTTGTTGGTTAGTGTATACATTTGAATTACCGTCGGCAAATAGCCGTTAAATGGAATTACTCGCTTTCGGATGAAATTGTTTGTGACAGTTCAACATTATGTGGTGATGCCTCTTCCGAAATGAGTGAGTGAGAGAGGGTTTTTACGCGCTTTTAGCAATATTCCAGCAATATCACGGGACAACAGACATAGGCTTCACATTGTACCCATGTGGGGAATCGAACCCTGGTTTTCGGCGTGACGAGCGAAAGCTTTAACAACGACGCTACCCCATCGCCCCCTTTCCGAAATGAAGTGTATTGGGCCATACTGTTGAGCATTCAATTACAGCAGAGAGATATCATGGCATGGAGGTAAGGTGAGGTGAAATTGGGTTTTACGTCGTGCTTGAGAATATTTCGCTCATATGACGACGTGCATGCGTGTGTATGTGTATGTGCAGCTGCTTGTACTAGCCCAGACTTAAGCTGGTTTCATAGTGCTAGCCCAATGAGATACCATGCCGCAGTGAAGCATGAATACCCCACTCAGACACATTATACTGACTCCGAGCCGACCAGTCCTTGTTGTACGCATTAATGCCGAGCGCAAGGCAGGGACCAAGTACCATATTTTAACGTCTTTTGGTATGATGTGGTCGGGGATCGAACCCGCGACCTTCCGTTCTCCGGGCGGACGCTCTAACCACTACACCACGGAGGCGGTCATCATGGCATGGATAGTCGTAGAAAGAGTAAGTAATGTTTTACGTAATATTCCAGCAATACCACGGCGTAACACCAGAAATGTACTTCATTGTACCCACGTGGGTAATTAAACCTGGGCCTTCGGCACTTGTGTTAACTTAGCCTCGTCGCTATGTGGCTGAATCAATGCCGTGGTGACATTTTAACTCACTTACTTCAGCGTTACGACCGAATACTTTAACCACTAAGCTACCCCACTGAGTTTTTTCACCGCTTTAAGCAATATTCCAGCAATATCACGGCGGTGGACACCAGATTTGGGTTTCACACATTGTACCCATAGGGGGAATCGAACCCGGGTCTTCGGCTTGACGAGTGGACGTTGTATCCATTAAGCTACCCCACCTCCCATGGGACCGCCTCCGTGTTGAAGTGGTAAGAGCGTCCGCCCGGAGAGCGGAAGGTCGCGGGTTCGATCCCTGACCGCGTCATACCAAAATACGTTAAAATATGGTACTTGTTGGTCCCTGACTTGCGCTCGACATGAACGGGTACAACAAAGACTGGTCGGCTCTGAGTCAGTATAATGTGTCTGAGTGGGGTATTCATGCTTCACTGCGGCATGGTATCTCAGTGGGCTAGCACTATAAAACCATGTTAAGTCTGGGCTAGTACAAGCAGCCGCTCATACACATATACACGCCGTCATATGAGCGAAATATTCTCAAGCACGACGTTAAACCCACTTTCACCTCACCTCACCTCCCCAGATAATACAGTAATCACGTATGGCTATAGAACAAAATGCAAGTACTCACCACGGTTGGCGTACATCGAAGCGTTTGCCTGTGTCACCAGAGAAAGCATCTCCGGAAATACTGAATGACAGACGCAAGTCCCCGTAGTCACATCATAGTTTTCAGAAACTGCTTTCTCCCCATCACAAAAGACTATACACTCTTCAACACAACTCAGAGGCGCACTGGAGAGGATGTGGTCGATGCCCTTCTTTCCTCTACCAGCAAGGTAATATGTTTTCGTACTTATGACCTGGACTATGAACGAAATAAAATAATAGAGGGAAACCCAAAGCATGTTTAACAGTTTTCAAGCTCAAGCCCGCAAAGAACACTGCCTGTGTTTTATGGAGCAGACCCCGACTGTTTCATTTAAATTGAAGTCAGGACGGTTGGTCTCCCATTGATTATGTGTTGTTGACATTTGCACAACAAACGAATACTAATTCTTCGGCATTAAAAGTGTACTAGACACATGTAAACATGCTCAATCAAGCATGCTGTCTGGACGTCTTGTGCGAAACAATTTCACCACAGAATAAACACTTGTCATTAATACTACTCTTTACATCATCACCAGTAACGAATTCAATTAAACACGCTTGACAATCATAGGAGACATGGTCTTTCATGTCGATGTATGTAGGTCTAAAATACAGAACGTCATCGTGTGAGAAAAAAAACAGTCTTGATTATCGTCAAAACATATTCAACGGAGCATAAAAGGCAAGACGCGGGGACAGTTATATATAAATGGATTGCAGACAATATATTGTTACTTATTATCAGTTGATTTGTATTGTTTTATAAGCAAGTCTCTCACTCTCTTTATTTCCGGTACTGAAAGGCCACAGTACTATACATTTACATAACAGTATTTACACGCACATGTAATATACATAAAGAAGAGAACATAATCAAGGGTAGCTTACTTTGTGTTCTGAGATATATTCTGCTCTAAACAACATGGCATGGAAAGCAAACATGGAACAATTTTGAAGTAGTGTATGTTTTTTGTTATTTAACAATAAACTTTCACAGGGAATTATAAGCAGGGCAAATAAAGAGAAAATGATATTCATGTTCTATTTGGTTAAGATCACAAACTTTAAACTTTTCAAGTTCTTTTTCTTTCTTGACATTTTTAAATCTTCCACTTTTGATAAATAAATCATGTGAAGAACATCTCAGTCTACTTAAAGCCATCCTAAATATTTTTCCCTTTACGCGTGAAAGATATATTTCTGCGTCAAAAGTACATTTACACATCTTATAATACAAACATTTACTTGAAAGTGATATCTATCCAAATCATTCTTGCAAATAATCTTCTTGTTAGTTCTAAAATAAACTTACCGTCAGTGTCAACACACTGATCGTTCCATACAAAACCAAAACCCTTTGAGAATAGAAAATTTATTACAAAAGAAACCCAATTTGTGTGTCCATTTTTATCGAACAACATCATCTTATTGTAACATTTCTTTGGTAGGCTTTTAAAAGGCACCGTCAATAAATTTAACCAATATTTTATAGCTCTGATATTTGTAAATAAGTGCATCGGATATCTACCACATTCTCCATACACCATAGTATTCATCCTTTTGGATTTAACATCAAGAAATCTTTACATGCTTTCAATTGAACTCTTTTGATATCATTGTAATAATTCAAACCCCACATTTCAGCTCCATAGAATAAAATTGGCTTAATTTTGGCATCAAATATTTCACAGTATGAACTTATATTTATGTCTTCAAGTACATTTAATTGTTTAAAGATACCAATCATTACTTTTTGTGCTTGCAAGCAAGCGTAATTAACATGTGTTGTCCAAGATAAACAATTACTGAAGAACATTCCCAAATATTTGTACGAAATGGTGCATTCTAATTCTTTACCTTTATACAACCATTTCTCGGTTTTTTGATAAACGTCCCCCATTTTTTAAAAACTACTACTTTAGTTTTGTTTCTCTTTCCAGTTAATTTGTATTTGTCAAATAACTCTCAAGTTCTTGTATAAGTCTTTGTAAACCTGCAACAGTGCATGGGAAGAGCACCATATCGTCTGCAAAAAGCAGAAGACAAATATGTACTAGGTCAGGGTGTAACCATACTCACAACTGCTTTCAATTTGGGTTGCTAATTCGTTTTTGAAAAATGAGAATAAAGTATAGCTGGTTTGTATTACATGCCTTTTTCGTTACACAACTGTAATTCTTTATTCGTCGAAAAATAAAATTGTCTTCCCTTTATCCAGTAAATAAACATCAATATTTCACTTTGCCCTGGCCACATTTGGAACTGAGGGTCCATTGGACTTTCGAGCAATGGCATGACGGTGGCAAACCAAGAAAAAGAGCAGTGCGAAACTGCGATTCACGCTCACGACCATAGAAATCTTGCACGCCCAAAGGATGCTACTCTTGGCGATTTTAAAAACCACTTCACATGTGTTAAAAATGTACTTGATACAACTGTTGGTTAAAACGAATGCCAGTGAATATTGATAAATCATCCGAAGCTCCGGGTTCACAATACGATCGTATGGGAGTCATGATGGCTTTAGCGCTACGGTCGCCTTGTGGAACGGATCCAGGTTATAAATGGTTTTCTGAAAACACTGCTTCTGGTCATCAGTCGGCAATTTGAAAAGAAACATTGTATTTTTATAGGATTACATGAATGTGCTTAAAGTATTATACGATGGCTTCCGACAGTACCAACCACATACCATTTTCTGTAGTTCTTGACATCAAGCTCTCTTGTGGTGTTCATTCTCTAGACTGTTATAATTTCCCTGGGATCTTCTTTACATATATTAGGTTCTTAAGTATCCCTGTATTTGTACAATATCCGGGGATTGTAAAAATACCAATAAAAAATATCAATACCCAGCGGGCACATAACGTTGAGTCAATGTTTAATCAACGTTGACTTTCATAAACGTTGGCTCAACGTTTATCATGGGACCAAAGAAAATTAGTCGAGATTCGTTTAGTTGTCAACGTTATTTCAACGTAAGGTTCCAACAAAATGTCAACTAATTGTTTCCTTGGCAAAGTTTATACAGAATTTATATTGGTAAAAGGCATCCAACTTAGCAACTAACATTTCTGAACATTAATTGTTGTATAGGGGTTGGAATAGTCCCAAATGACGTCATCGAACACCTGGCTGACCTCATTTCACATGGGGCAATGACCGCGCGCCCCGTGGGAAACGGATCCGGCATGACATCATAGCATCACACCATGACATCACGCCATTAGTTTTGACCAATAAGCATAGAGCAACTATCGAACTCACTCCGGAGTGACTCAGGCTGACTGGGGTCAATGACCGCGTAGCCCGTTGGAAACGGATGACACATCATAGCATCATACCATGACATCACGCCATTAATTTGGACCAATCAGTGTAGAGAAACTATCGAACTTACTCCGGTGTGACTCAGGCTGACTGGGGTTAACAACCGCGCACCCCCGTGGGAAAAAAGAATGTTATTAATGTTTACGGAACTTTCCCAGTAAAAGAAAAGATTTCAATAAGAGATATGCTATTTATCAATTTACGCTGGAACCCAAACGCATAGAAGGGGGGATGTTTGAATACCTTAAAACAAGGCAACCTTCATTTGGAGTTACATTTTAAGTCAGCGCTTCTGGAAGGTATCATCTGTCTCATTTACAGCGAGGATCAGTTGATTTTTAAGTGGACGAAGCACGTAACATGAGCAACACTATGAATACACGACAACTATAATGCCTCTTGAACAAAGACAGTGTTACCAAGGGATGAAAATCAAAGTGCTTGCTGCCGATCAGTTACCACGAACCATATCCACATATTCCAAAGGATACATTTTGAATAATCAAGCCTCTCATCAACCTGGACAACACTGGATAGCTATTTGGATGCAAGATTCAAAACACAAAGAATTTTTTGACAGTTTGGGAAGAAAGCCTGAGTATTATCAAAGGACATTCCACACATTCCGACAAAGGAAATGTGCTTCCTTCCAGCACAATACATGGATTCTTCCAAGTAAAAACAGTAAAAATTGTGGACTGTATACTTTGTTTTATGTGATGATGAAAGCCAGAGGACATTCACTGAATGATATTCTTAATCGTTTTACTTTCAACCCAAGGTTAAACGATATGCTAGTGTATAGATATGTGTCTTCATTATGTGTCACTTATAGTTAACGTGGTCATCCTCCTTAAGAGATGTCTATGTACCCATCAAACTGAAAAAATGTACAGACTGTGGATATCTATATAAAAGACAGAAACGGTGATTTAACTTCTTTTAGCAGTGGACCCGTGATAGTGACACTTCATCTGAAACCTCTGTGTGAGAGTCAGTATTCATTCTGAACAAGAAAATGAACAGGAGATACTGGAGACCCTATCTGGACGACCCTAAGAAATGGACCAAAAATTACTATTTGCAGGCTAAAGGATATCCCAATCCCTTTACTAACGTTGATGATTATGTGATCTATTATGAGAAGCAAGGTGTCAAGATCGACCTACACCTTTCTGAAGAGACTTTTGCACTCACGTCTCTTACTCAACAAGTCGTTCAACAGGATAAAGCCAAGTTGAAGTGAGAAAGAAAAAGTGCCGTCAATAGGGAAAGCACAATGGAAGCAGTGTCAACAAAGCGAATGAAAAAGATTTTTAAATAGAGAAGAAAAAGCAAAAGCAGCAGCAGCAAAAGCAAAAGCAACAACAACAACCAGTACAACCACTTTCATCAGAAAGTACTACTCAGTCTTTGGAAGAATTTAGACTAATACACCCATTCACCATGATTGTCTCAGGGAAAACCTACTTTAGTGAAGCAGCTTCTAGTTCTGGGAGTGCTCCTATCCCGTAGTTCTACTCATTTGAAACGGAGCTAATAAAAAGAATGAAATCAGTTGGTTTTGGGTTTTTGTCTGTCTGTCATGTATACCTCGTTAGGATGGGAAAACCACATTAACGTGGTGTGCCTAATGGCAGCAAATGATCCCCGGGGAGTCGAGAATGGTAATATGGCTGAGATTGACATTCAAGTCAAAATTTACCAGCGCTTTGAGCATGCATGCGGGATGGACTATAGCGTTATATAAATACCCATATAATAATAATATACACTAGTGCGTTGTCATTCATACATTTATGATTAATCTTTCATGCTAAGGCTATACAATTACACCCCATTCCTGATAGAATTTTAGATGAATTCCATGAAAGTTGCATTCCTAAATATGTTGGAAGCGCACGTACAATCTCCATGATGAGAACGCACATTTCTACAGTCAAAGCTGACGCGCCCTAGCTAGTGTGTTGATTTTAAGGA